CTCTCTCTCTCTCTCTCTCTCTCTCTCTCTCTCTCTCTCTCTCTCTCTCTCTCTCTCTCTCTCTCTCTCTCTCTCTCTCTCTCTCTCTCTCTCTCTCTCTCTCTCTCTCTCTCTCTCTCTCTCTCTCTCTCTCTCTCTCTCTCTCTCTCTCTCTCTCTCTCTCTCTCTCTCTCTCTCTCTCTCTCTCTCTCTCTCTCTCTCTCTCTCTCTCTCTCTCTCTCTCTCTCTCTCTCTCTCTCTCTCTCTCTCTCTCTCTCTCTCTCTCTCTCTCTCTCTCTCTCTCTCTCTCTCTCTCTCTCTCTCTCTCTCTCTCTCTCTCTCTCTCTCTCTCTCTCTCTCTCTCTCTCTCTCTCTCTCTCTCTCTCTCTCTCTCTCTCTCTCTCTCTCTCTCTCTCTCTCTCTCTCTCTCTCTCTCTCTCTCTCTCTCTCTCTCTCTCTCTCTCTCTCTCTCTCTCTCTCTCTCTCTCTCTCTCTCTCTCTCTCTCTCTCTCTCTCTCTCTCTCTCTCTCTCTCTCTCTCTCTCTCTCTCTCTCTCTCTCTCTCTCTCTCTCTCTCTCTCTCTCTCTCTCTCTCTCTCTCTCTCTCTCTCTCTCTCTCTCTCTCTCTCTCTCTCTCTCTCTCTCTCTCTCTCTCTCTCTCTCTCTCTCTCTCTCTCTCTCTCTCTCTCTCTCTCTCTCTCTCTCTCTCTCTCTCTCTCTCTCTCTCTCTCTCTCTCTCTCTCTCTCTCTCTCTCTCTCTCTCTCTCTCTCTCTCTCTCTCTCTCTCTCTCTCTCTCTCTCTCTCTCTCTCTCTCTCTCTCTCTCTCTCTCTCTCTCTCTCTCTCTCTCTCTCTCTCTCTCTCTCTCTCTCTCTCTCTCTCTCTCTCTCTCTCTCTCTCTCTCTCTCTCTCTCTCTCTCTCTCTCTCTCTCTCTCTCTCTCTCTCTCTCTCTCTCTCTCTCTCTCTCTCTCTCTCTCTCTCTCTCTCTCTCTCTCTCTCTCTCTCTCTCTCTCTCTCTCTCTCTCTCTCTCTCTCTCTCTCTCTCTCTCTCTCTCTCTCTCTCTCTCTCTCTCTCTCTCTCTCTCTCTCTCTCTCTCTCTCTCTCTCTCTCTCTCTCTCTCTCTCTCTCTCTCTCTCTCTCTCTCTCTCTCTCTCTCTCTCTCTCTCTCTCTCTCTCTCTCTCTCTCTCTCTCTCTCTCTCTCTCTCTCTCTCTCTCTCTCTCTCTCTCTCTCTCTCTCTCTCTCTCTCTCTCTCTCTCTCTCTCTCTCTCTCTCTCTCTCTCTCTCTCTCTCTCTCTCTCTCTCTCTCTCTCTCTCTCTCTCTCTCTCTCTCTCTCTCTCTCTCTCTCTCTCTCTCTCTCTCTCTCTCTCTCTCTCTCTCTCTCTCTCTCTCTCTCTCTCTCTCTCTCTCTCTCTCTCTCTCTCTCTCTCTCTCTCTCTCTCTCTCTCTCTCTCTCTCTCTCTCTCTCTCTCTCTCTCTCTCTCTCTCTCTCAACTTATCTATCCATTTTGCTGTCTGTCTATCAATATGAATTAGTCTGTAAGTCTATGACTGAATAATTACAGAATAGAAATAAAAATCATAATAAATTCCATGTTTACGTTTAAATATTGAAACCTCTAACGAAAAAATACGGATAATAGATAAAAAAAAAAAAAAAAAAAAACAACACGCATTCCTTTCTTCCATTTTCATTTTATCTTTCATTCTTTTTTTCTTCTTCTATTCCACCTTCACCACTACTTCCTCCTCCTCCTCCTTCCTTCTCCCTCCTCCCTCCTTCCTCCTCCTCCTCCTCCTCCTCTTCCACCTCCTCCTTCTCCTCTTCCACCTCCTCCTCCTCCTTCTCCTCTTCCACCTCCTCCTCCTTCTCCTCTTCCACCTCCTCCTCCTTCTCCTCTTCCACCTCCTCCTCCTCTTCCACCTCCTCCTTCTCCTCTTCCACCTCCTCCTTCTCCTCTTCCACCTCCTCCTTCTCCTCTTCCACCTCCTCCATCTCCTCTTCCACCTCCTTCTTCTCCTCTTCCACTTCCTCCTCCTTCTGCTCTTCCACTTACTCCTGTACTTCCTCCACCTTCTCCTCTTCCACCTCCTTCTCCTCTTCCATCTTCTCCTCCTTCTCCTCTTCCACCTCCTCCTCCTCTTCCACCTCCTCCTCCTCTTCCTCCCTCCTCCTCCTCCTTCCTTCTCCCTCCTCCCTCCTTCCTCCTCCTCCTCCTTCCTTCTCCCTCCTCCCTCCTTCCACCTTCCTCCTTTCTCCCTCCTCCTCTTCCACCTCCTCCTTCTCCTCTTCCACCTCCTCCTTCTCCTCTTCCACCTCCTCCTCCTTCTCCTCCTCTTCCACCTCCTCCCCCTCTTCCACCACCTCCTCCTCCTCCTCTTCTTCCACCCCCTCCTCCTCTTCCACCTCCTCTTCCTCCTCCTCCCCAGTAAACAGCTACTAGCACCACCTGAGAACCTACCTGTAGGAGAGGAGGTAGGGAGCTCTCTCAAGAAGCTTCACGGAGACGATGATCAAATCTGCGTCTGTTGTGTTGGGCACCAGGCCGGAGACTCCCTCTGACACCTTGTAAATAAAGTTGTAAGTTGTGATTGTTGTTGTGAAAATGGTTGTAAATGCAGGTGTTTGTTGTGAATGTAGTTGTCAAATCATGCTGTTTGTTGTGAATGTAGTTGTCAGATCATGACGTTTGTTGTGAATTGTTGAAAATACACTTATAAGTTGTTAGTTGTAAGTTGTAAATTGTATATGCAGAGAAAATGGTTGTAAATGCGAATGTTTCTTGTGAATGTAGTTGTGAATCATATTTCTTGTGAATGTAGTTGTGAATCATGTTTGTTGTGAATACAGTTTAAAATACAGTTATAAGTTGTAAGTATAGTTGTGAATAGCTGAAAATACATACAATTGTTAGCATAAGCTGTGAATGATGCAGGTGATAACACATGGTTTTGTTGTGAATGTAGTTATCAAGTAAACAAATACAGTTGTACACAGTTGTAGTTGTCCAAACAGTTTTATAGATAGCTGTGACCACGACAGTAAATGCAGCAATAAATACAGTTGTAAATAAACTTAAAAATACAGCTGTTAATATGTAATTAAAAAGGAAAGTAATTGATAAATGACTTGATCAAAACGACCGCCAACTTTGAAAGTCATGCACTTTTTTTATATATAATTTGGTCTAAATAAAAAAGAAATAATAATAATAAAAAAATAAAGATAACGAGTAAAGTACAAAATAATGACAATAATGATAATAATAATAATAATAATAATAATAATAATAATAATAATAATAATAATAATAATAATAATAATGATAATAATAATAACAACAACAACAATAATAGTAACAACAACAACAATAATAATAATAACGACAACAATAATAATAATAACAAATAAATCAATAAATGAATAAATACATAAAATGTAAAAAAGGCCGGAAAAACTCACATCAATCGACGCAATCCGAACGGGGGAAATATCACCTCTGGATATTATCAGATCGAAAACTTGATGCTTGAATAAATCTTGCTTCTTTTCGGCTGCTTCGAACTGGTTCTCTGGCATGGAGAGGAGAGAATAAAGAGGGAATAAAGAGAAGGAAGGATAATGGAGATGTTGGTGAGAGGAGAGGAAAAGGGGAGAGTGAGATATGCAAATGCGAAGGATTTTCAAAACATTTGACGTTTTCAGGGATGTCTTGTTGTCGTTGTTGTTGTTTTTTGGTTTTGTTTTTGTTTTTTTTATTTTATTTATATCTATTTTATTTTACTTATTATTTTGACCGACTTCCCAAGGGATTATTGAGAGGGTTGGGGGGGAGGAGGAGGGGGGACTACAACATCCCTCAAAAAGATAAAAATATTAACAGGAGAGAAAAATAAAATGTTAAAAGAAACAGACAACAACAACAACAATAAAAACAATAACAGTAAAATCAAACTCAATCCATCAATTAATCCACGCACACACACACACACAAAAAAAAAAAAATAGAAATAAAAATTCCCGCAACCAACTCACTATGGGCGGCGGGGAAGGTGATAATGAGATATGACCATCGATCACTCCAGCGCTCGTAGCATTCTTCCACACTGAACTCTGTCTCGGTGTACAAAGCCACCTCTTTGAAGTCGTAGAAGTTGGTAGTCATCATACCCGTGGCCTGGAAGACATTATTTAGACGTCTTCTTGACTTTTAAATCATATTCGATTAAGTGTATTCGTCAGCGTCAGTCGTAGATAAATAAATAAATAGGTAATCGTCTTTAAAGAAATCAGTAGCTTTGATGAAATATGATAAAGCACATTTACTTTTCTTTTAATGCAAATTAGATTAAATGAATTCATCAGCGTGTCGTACTTTGGGTCTTGTATGGATAAAAGACAAAAAAAAAGAAAGAACTGAGACAATAACCTTTACAGCCATCAATAGTTTTGATAAAGGAGTACTATAATAAAGCACAAATTATATATATGATTCAGGTTATAATTCTATCCAATGGCTTAAGGTATGGCTCCCCCTTTCAGCTCAAAATCTGCATCGAGATTTCGCGGAACGGACTAGCAGTGGCGTATATAGAGGGGGGGGGGCAGAGGGGGGAGAAAACCCCACCCCTCTAGAGCTAAACTGCCATTTTGTCGGAAAATTGCTAATCTTGTCGGAAAATAATCATGAAGAAACGAAAATGCTTATTAAATTTTTGTCGGAAAATCTGCATTTCTCGCCCCCCCTATAAAATTTCCTATCTACGCCACTGCGGACTAGTGCCAATAACCGGGACAATCACGTACCTGCAAGGGGTTTGACCGGTTGTAGGTGAAGAGATCTCCTCGAATGGGCATCTTGATAGGCACTTTGTTGGCGGGAGTCACCTCAAGGCCCTGGAGGGGAGAGGAAGAGCGGAAAACTGTGATTGGCATTGATTTTATTTATGAGTTGCTGTTGGTGATTCATGATTGGCATTGATTTTATTTATAAGTTGCTGTTGGTGATTCGTGATCGGCATTGATTTTATTTTATGAGTTGCTGTTGGAGATTGGAAAATTGATTTAGGAGTTGCAGTTGGTGATTCGTGATTGGCATTGATTTTATTTATAAGTTGCTGTTGGTGATTCGTGATCGGCATTGATTTTATTTATGAGTTGCTGTTGGTGATTCATGATTGGCATTGATTGTATTTATGAGTTGCTGTTGGTGATTCATGATTGGCATTGATTTGATTTAGGAGTTGCTGTTGGTGATTCATGATTGGCTTTGATTTTATTTTATGAGTTGCTGTTGGAGATTGGCAAATTGATTTGATTTAGGAGTTGCAGTTGGTGATTCGTGATTGGCATTGATTTTATTTATGAGTTGCTGTTGCTGATTCGTGATTGGCATCGATTATATTTGTGGGTTGCTGTTTAGGATTTATGATAGACAAACAGATCTTGTTTATGGGTTGCTGTTGGTGATTTGAGATTGGCAGATCGATTTCATTTATGGATTGCTGTTGGGGACTCAAGACGATAGATTTTGTTTGTGGGTTGCCTTTTAGGACTAATGACGTATAGACAAATTTAAAAACCAGAAAAACCATATCGCATAAAGCCATGACACACAGAAAACACAAGTGAGCCTTTAAATCTACGTGCATATTCTAAGAAACAAACGAAAAACAACAATAAAAAAGTAAAAAAAAAAGAAAAAGAAAAAAAAGTGACCTGAGCGAAGTAATACTCGAGAACCGCCTTGGGAAAGTTCTCCACAAACTCGACGTCAGGGTCTGGAATGTCATCACGGGTGGAGGTCCACATGTCACTCCCGATCTCCCGTGTGGATCGCTCGCCCACGTAAGCGTAGGTGTCGTCCAAGTGGAAGAGTTCGTTGGGGCCGAGCATGAACCCCCCTGTTCCCAGCATGCCTCCTGAGGGGAAGAAAGTGGGGGAGGGGGGGGTCAAAAAAAGAGGAGGGTAGGATGGAAAGGAGATGGAGAGGGAGGGAGAGAGAGGTGGAGGAGGAGGAGAGGGAGGGAGGGAGAGAGTGGAAGGGAGGAAAGAGGGAGGGAGAGGAGGAGGAAAAGGGTGTAAGGGAGGAGAGAGGGAGGGAGAGAAGGAAGAAGGAGGGAGGGAGAGGATGGAAGGCAGGGAGGGAGAGAGAGAGAGAGAGAGAGAGAGAGAGAGAGAGAGAGAGAGAGAGAGAGAGAGAGAGAGAGAGAGAGAGAGAGAGAGAGAGAGAGAGAGAGAAGAGCAGAGACGAGAGCATCGTCCAGTGTTACCAACTCCGCGTGTCTTCGTGTGGCCAAATCACTGCATGGGAGCCCGTGACACAATCTAACATACTATAACTTAATTTGAAAACCATCGTCACAATATATAACCTATAAAATGATCAAAACATAAAAAAAGGTTCTACAAAACTGCACAAGAGAAATTACTTACCAAAATGAGTGTCGAAAGTGTAATCTGGAATACGATCAACAGAACAGTTGCCAAATTCACGATCGATCATGTACTGAGCACCTGCAAAGAAATTTTATTTTAAGCTCGTCATCTCATACGAATGAAACAGTTAGAAGAAATATTTCCTTTTGATAATAAATGACCAGGCTCATTGATATATTATTTTGTGATATTCTGTGGTACACTGACGTAGATTATTTAAATATGTTTGAAGACAACGAGCATATATATCATGTCTTTTTTTCCGACCTTTGGATATATTCCATGTCTGTACACGATGTCAGTATATCACATTTTCTAAAGAAATATTACGAACATTCAATATGTATCCTCGTAGACTACGATCACATCTATCACATTTTGAGCTACTGACATATCCCATGTTCGAAAACTACGAGCATATATCTTTTTTTTTTGTCGAACTAATGAAGAAATCCATGTCTTTTAGATCAAGTCATTTAATCTACATTATTGCACTTCACAGATGTTCGCATATCAGATAAAGAGTAGTGTACACACGCATGAAAAATATTGATAACGACCACGAAAAATATTGATAATATTAAATAAAAGTAAAGTATAACCATTAGAACAAAAATGTCGAAGGGGTCACACCTGTATTGAAATCATGCACGACCTCAACGACATGATCTGTAATCTCGGTGATATAATTGGGCGGAACTACATCGAGGCGAACCAGGGACAAACCCTCGGCGTAGGCAAGCTGGAAGATATTTTAGCGAGAGAAGAATTTAGATGGTTACTCTGAGACCAAAGCGAAGGGGTATCATTTCCATAGGCTATGCAGGAATAAGCATATGTAGAGATGTATAGATACACACGCGCGTACATACATATACACTTAAATTCAGACAGATAAGCAGACGCAGACACACACACATAAAATGCAGATAGACAGGTACACACACAGACACACACACACACACTTTCTCTCTCACACACACACTCAAATATGTGTCTCCAAACACACACAAATACGCACTCTCACACACTCACTCACGTCAACAAACATTCACGCGATCACACACTCACACAGTGACATTTTCTCGCGCTCTCACATTTTCTCACACACTCACAAATTCACACACCCGTAACCACACACACACACTCACAGTCTCACACACTCGTAATCACACATACACACTCACACACAGTCCTTTACATACTCACACAAACCTACACGCAGCATATACCATATTTACGACAGCTACACAAACGGGCTTATACAGAAAGACAGACTTACCTTGATTTTATCCAGGTGTTGTGACCCCAAGCTCACTCCGTCTATCATAGGGTTTGAGACAACCTCCTCCGCAAGGGAAAAATGGCTGGGTATGTCGGGCACGGGCAGATCCGAGACCACGCCCACTAAACCTTCACAAGAAAGCCCACGGGGAACCTGCGCATAACCATGTACTCAGTAGGACAAAATATATACTATGCTATTATATGCTTCTCAATTAATTGTTTTATTGTTCAATTTTTTTTATTCTCGAATAATTTCTTTCTTGATAACATGTTATATATACTTCATGCACACACACATATACATACTGAATCTATATATGTATCTGTGTGGGTGTGTAAACACGAACACACACATATACATATATATATATACATAAGTATGTATGTATGAACACATATATTTAAGTATGTATATGTATATATAGATATGCACAGTATATATGTATATATAGATATGTACAGTAAATATATGTATATATAGATATGTACAGTATTTACATGTATACATACATATGTATAGTATATATATATATAAACACATATATATATATATATACATATATATTTATTTATTTATTCATACATACACACACACACACATATATATGCATGTATTATATGTATTTAATCAAATATTGAATATATATATATACATTGCATATATATATTAATTATCTATCTATCTATCTATCTATCTATATATATATATATATATAATATCCATTCTAGATTTAAAACGGGTCGCCGCACCTCAAGCAAATGGTGATGCTCAACCCAAGGCACGAACTTCAACACGTGGTACTGGTAGAGCTTCGACTCGTCCGTCATCTTGACCTCGAACTCGACGGGAATTCGGTCGTCCTCGCCGGGGAACCACGAGATCTCCGGCATCTGCCATGGGACCTCTGAGTAGGGGGGGGGGGGGGGGAGGAGGAGGAGAGAGAGAGAGAGAGAGAGAGAGAGAGAGAGAGAGAGAGAGAGAGAGAGAACAAGAGAGAGAGAGAGAAAGGTGGAGTGGAGGGAAGGAAGGAAGGAGAGAGAGTGAGAGTGAGACAGACAGATAAGGAAAGATAAACAAATAGAAAGAAAGAGAAGACAGTCAAAGAAACACCAAGACACACACACACACTCACAGTCTCACACACTCGTAATCACACATACACACTCACACACAGTCCTTTACATACTCACACAAACCTACACGCAGCATATACCATATTTACGACAGCTACACAAACGGGCTTATACAGAAAGACAGACTTACCTTGATTTTATCCAGGTGTTGTGACCCCAAGCTCACTCCGTCTATCATAGGGTTTGAGACAACCTCCTCCGCAAGGGAAAAATGGCTGGGTATGTCGGGCACGGGCAGATCCGAGACCACGCCCACTAAACCTTCACAAGAAAGCCCACGGGGAACCTGCGCATAACCATGTACTCAGTAGGACAAAATATATACTATGCTATTATATGCTTCTCAATTAATTGTTTTAGTGTTCAATTTTTTTTATTCTCGAATAATTTCTTTCTTGATAACATGTTATATATACTTCATGCACACACACATATACATACTGAATCTATATATGTATCTGTGTGGGTGTGTAAACACGAACACACACATATACATACTGAATCTATATATGTATCTGTGTGGGTGTGTAAACACGAACACACACATATACATACTGAATCTATATATGTATCTGTGTGGGTGTGTAAACACGAACACACACATATACATACTGAATCTATATATGTATCTGTGTGGGTGTGTAAACACGAACACACACATATACATACTGAATCTATATATGTATCTGTGTGGGTGTGTAAACACGAACACACACATATACATACTGAATCTATATATGTATCTGTGTGGGTGTGTAAACACGAACACACACATATACATACTGAATCTATATATGTATCTGTGTGGGTGTGTAAACACGAACACACACATATACATACTGAATCTATATATGTATCTGTGTGGGTGTGTAAACACGAACACACACATATACATATATATATATACATAAGTATGTATGTATGAACACATATATTTAAGTATGTATATGTATATATAGATATGCACAGTATATATGTATATATAGATATGTACAGTAAATATATGTATATATAGATATGCACAGTATATATGTATATAAACACAATATCAGTGGCAGTCAGAGGAATGAAATTACATATATAAAAGATAGGAGATGTGTGTGTGTGTGTGTGTGTGTGTGTGTGTGTGTGTGTGTGTGTGTGTGTGTGTGTGTGTGTGTGTGTGTGTGTGTGTGTGTGTGTGTGTGTGTGTGTGTGTGTGTGTGTGTGTGTGTGTGTGTGTGTGTGTGTGTGTGTGTGTGTGTGTGTGTGTGTGTGTGTGTGTGTGTGTGTGTGTGTGTGTGTGTGTGTGTGTGTGTGTGTGTGTGTGTGTGTGTGTGTGTGTGTGTGTGTGTGTGTGTGTGTGTGTGTGTGTGTGTGTGTGTGTGTGTGTGTGTGTGTGTGTGTGTGTGTGTGTGTGTGTGTGTGTGTGTGTGTGTGTGTGTGTGTGTGTGTGTGTGTGTGTGTGTGTGTGTGTGTGTGTGTGTGTGTGTGTGTGTGTGTGTGTGTGTGTGTGTGTGTGTGTGTGTGTGTGTGTGTGTGTGTGTGTGTGTGTGTGTGTGTGTGTGTGTGTGTGTGTGTGTGTGTGTGTGTGTGTGTGTGTGTGTGTGTGTGTGTGTGTGTGTGTGTGTGTGTGTGTGTGTGTGTGTGTGTGTGTGTGTGTGTGTGTGTGTGTGTGTGTGTGTGTGTGTGTGTGTGTGTGTGTGTGTGTGTGTGTGTGTGTGTGTGTGTGTGTGTGTGTGTGTGTGTGTGTGTGTGTGTGTGTGTGTGTGTGTGTGTGTGTGTGTGTGTGTGTGTGTGTGTGTGTGTGTGTGTGTGTGTGTGTGTGTGTGTGTGTGTGTGTGTGTGTGTGTGTGTGTGTGTGTGTGTGTGTGTGTGTGTGTGTGTGTGTGTGTGTGTGTGTGTGTGTGTGTGTGTGTGTGTGTGTGTGTGTGTGTGTGTGTGTGTGTGTGTGTGTGTGTGTGTGTGTGTGTGTGTGTGTGTGTGTGTGTGTGTGTGTGTGTGTGTGTGTGTGTGTGTGTGTGTGTGTGTGTGTGTGTGTGTGTGTGTGTGTGTGTGTGTGTGTGTGTGTGTGTGTGTGTGTGTGTGTGTGTGTGTGTGTGTGTGTGTGTGTGTGTGTGTGTGTGTGTGTGTGTGTGTGTGTGTGTGTGTGTGTGTGTGTGTGTGTGTGTGTGTGTGTGTGTGTGTGTGTGTGTGTGTGTGTGTGTGTGTGTGTGTGTGTGTGTGTGTGTGTGTGTGTGTGTGTGTGTGTGTGTGTGTGTGTGTGTGTGTGTGTGTGTGTGTGTGTGTGTGTGTGTGTGTGTGTGTGTGTGTGTGTGTGTGTGTGTGTGTGTGTGTGTGTGTGTGTGTGTGTGTGTGTGTGTGTGTGTGTGTGTGTGTGTGTGTGTGTGTGTGTGTGTGTGTGTGTGTGTGTGTGTGTGTGTGTGTGTGTGTGTGTGTGTGTGTGTGTGTGTGTGTGTGTGTGTGTGTGTGTGTGTGTGTGTGTGTGTGTGTGTGTGTGTGTGTGTGTGTGTGTGTGTGTGTGTGTGTGTGTGTGTGTGTGTGTGTGTGTGTGTGTGTGTGTGTGTGTGTGTGTGTGTGTGTGTGTGTGTGTGTGTGTGTGTGTGTGTGTGTGTGTGTGTGTGTGTGTGTGTGTGTGTGTGTGTGTGTGTGTGTGTGTGTGTGTGTGTGTGTGTGTGTGTGTGTGTGTGTGTGTGTGTGTGTGTGTGTGTGTGTGTGTGTGTGTGTGTGTGTGTGTGTGTGTGTGTGTGTGTGTGTGTGTGTGTGTGTGTGTGTGTGTGTGTGTGTGTGTGTGTGTGTGTGTGTGTGTGTGTGTGTGTGTGTGTGTGTGTGTGTGTGTGTGTGTGTGTGTGTGTGTGTGTGTGTGTGTGTGTGTGTGTGTGTGTGTGTGTGTGTGTGTGTGTGTGTGTGTGTGTGTGTGTGTGTGTGTGTGTGTGTGTGTGTGTGTGTGTGTGTGTGTGTGTGTGTGTGTGTGTGTGTGTGTGTGTGTGTGTGTGTGTGTGTGTGTGTGTGTGTGTGTGTGTGTGTGTGTGTGTGTGTGTGTGTGTGTGTGTGTGTGTGTGTGTGTGTGTGTGTGTGTGTGTGTGTGTGTGTGTGTGTGTGTGTGTGTGTGTGTGTGTGTGTGTGTGTGTGTGTGTGTGTGTGTGTGTGTGTGTGTGTGTGTGTGTGTGTGTGTGTGTGTGTGTGTGTGTGTGTGTGTGTGTGTGTGTGTGTGTGTGTGTGTGTGTGTGTGTGTGTGTGTGTGTGTGTGTGTGTGTGTGTGTGTGTGTGTGTGTGTGTGTGTGTGTGTGTGTGTGTGTGCG